ACTAGGAGCAAGGACGCTACTAGGAGCTCCTGGCATCGCAACTAGGAGCAAGGACACTACTAGGAGCTCCTGGCCGTACTACTAGGAGCAAGGACACTACTAGGATTTCCTGGCATCGCAGCTAGGAGCAAGAAGCTATTAGTGCCAAAAAGGTTTAGGTTGACCTCCAATCCGGACAACGGTAAGGGACCGTAAGAAGAAGACCTTTGACCTTTGATCTTCACTTGGTCTCTTAGTTGTGTTATGTTGTGTTATGTTGTGTTTGTTGGTGTTTACATTTGTGCATTCGACATTGAGCGTCGAGGCCTTACGGCCCGGGGGCGCGTTGACCCTCTCGAGCGTGGTGCAAAGCATCGTGGAGGAGCTGACAGAGACTGCGTGGGGTATAGGATTGCCATCAGGCAGACAACGAAGGGTTATGATACAAATGATATTGAGTTATATACTTGTTTTTAGCGTGTTAGTTTCATGGTGTGAGAGTGTTTCCAAGTTTTGCTGTCTCTCGTTTCACAAATCTTTGGGTGACGTCGCAACTTGGGTCAGGAGAGCGGCGGACGCGGCTTCATGCGTGGAGCCTCCTCAATCGTGATAGGCGCTCACACCTCTCACACCGCTCGCCAGAGTGTAGATGGTGCAACGCTGTAGCGTCTTCGTCCAATCGGGACCACAGGGGCGTAGTTTTTCCTTTACTATCCGATGTTTGCGTTGCAAAGGCGAGTGAACATGACTGTCCTTGAAAGGTGGCTCAAAACTTCGAGCTCAAAAGAAATCATCAGCCGGTGTCGCTGCCAAGTCCCACGTTCACACGTAGTCAGCTTTCAACTATACCCTGACCTACTGGACCCCCGTTGTATTTTCACAATGACCGGCCATTCCGGCTACGGAACGAACCAACGCAAGATCTTGGGAACGCTTTGGAGCGGATACCCTCGTCGCTTCGACAAGGCTGCGTGCCAGCTCACATCGCACTCTTCACAAGCTATGAGTACGTGAAGGCAAGTCGGCGTCGGAATGGACGGGCAAGGACCCAACCACGTCGCAAGAGCGGTCACAAATTCACAAGTAGGATGTGTCAGGTGATTCACAAGCTTGCAGTGCAAAGGGCTAGTAGGGGCAGCTTCCGGCTTCAGGGGCGGATCATCAATGATGAGAATGCCCATGAGCCCGCGCGCGCAGCCTTGTGTGGTCGGAGCCTGGAGATCAGAGTTGGAGTGGTTTCCGGAAATGGTCAGGCCGGGGATTTGAAAATATACTAATATACTATACTAAAACTATGTTTTTAACTAGCCCCGCTCCCCCTGCCTACTTACTGTAATTAAGTAGTTGCCTATATACTTAATTATGTAAAGGACTAGTGACTAGTAAAGACTACTACCTACTGGACGAAGGATAGCTCACGCTTCTTCAAGGAAGCTCTCCCCGGAGCTTCCTTAAAGAAGCGCTCGCACTAATGATGTGGTTCCTAGGTTTTTTAGTTAGAATTCGAATTAAATTCTTCTTGTTACTAGTAGTAAGGCACTTGTTTCTGATAGCTTCTTGTTACTACTAGTAAGGCACTTGTTACTAGTAGCGATTTAACCTTCTTGCAGAGAAGTTGACTTGAGATTTTTCACACTAAGTGTAATTTCCTGTAGTCAAGCAGGCTTTGGCCAACATACTCTGGACATGGTCTGAGTTGCTCGCACCCCGCGCCTCGCGGTTTGTGTTTTCCGTGAAGAGGACTTTGACAGAGTTGTAGGCTACTGCATTTTGAAGGTACTACTCTTTTTTGCTCTACTCACTACATCTCATTACTCACTAAACCGTACTAAAGCATACTAAACCACATAAACCCTAGTACTTAGTACTTACAACTAGACCTTAGTGCACTTACAGAACTCCCTTGGGCTGGAAGTCTCCAAGAGTGAAGCAAGAAACGGAAATCGTCACCTTTATTTCATGTTCGTTCGCAGAATCAAAAACACGACACAATGTCACACATGCTTTTGCTTCGTATCGCCTAGAATGCCAACAGGGCAGCTCATGGATTGGTAGCTTGCATACTCTAGCCTAGACCAAGCCTGCACCTGGGATTGTGGCACCTAGCTTTTGCCATGTGCGTGATGAGCCAAAGATGCG